TTTTTTGCTCTTTGAGCGCTGGTTTTACCAGAACAGGGTCTGAGGCTTTTCATACAAGGGGGAGTTTTGCCCGTAGCGTGGAGGCTGGCACTCTTCCCTACAGGGATTGCCTCCTGCCAGGCAAAACTGGAAACACGGGGCTGTAAAAATCCCTTTAATAGGTCTAGGTTTTATTATAGATTAATTCTTTCTCATTTAAAAGTAGGTCAGCATGCATACACAGCGTGACACAGCGTGTTCAGAAACACGCAGGCATCTTTAAAGGCTGAAGGACACACAGCGTAAGACCAGGAGGTTACCCTACGCGGATGCAGTGGGCAACTGTAGCTGGTACAGCAGCTGCCACTGAACAAAATCCCAGCAGCATCTTCTGTTATTTTGGTACAGTGGAAGCCAAGAGAACAGAACAGGTTGTTGTTACAAGATAAATGCCTCCTGCTTTGAAAATACTGCAAATATCTTGGCTTTGCCTCTGTTTATTTTTGTTAAAAGGGTTCATCTCTGCCCAGGCTTTAATCTAGCAGCAGGAGACCATTATCCGATGCCTACATCCTATTCTGCCGACATTATCTCCTGAGCCATTTTGAAACTTCAATGCACCCTGGTGGCTGCATGCTCTGTGTGATGTTCTGCCCTTCTGATTTAGAAAACGCACGGACACACGCAAGCATGTGGTTTTGCTTAGCTTGCTCTTTACTTATTTCTTGCAGGACGGTAGGGAAAATAAGTACTTATTTTTCATCTATCTGCTCCATAAACACACTTGCTTAATCAATGCTGTTTGCACAGAACACAAACACAACAAAAAACACATCACAAGGAAAGGAGAAGGCTTTGAGTGCACTGTCTGGAAAAAAACCCCTCCTCTTCTGGAGCCTCTTCTGACAGTCAAGATGTTGTTGAGAACTCATTCATAAATCTTTTTTCCTGCAGCTGGAGTGGATGATGTAATTCCTTACAGATCATCAATTAGTTATATACTTTATTATGCATAATAAATGTAAATTATGTATCTAAGCATTAGCAATTACACTTCTAAACCACCTTTAAGATGGTAAGGCCCATTTCAAGCCCATTATCGTGTGCAGTCAAGAAAGAAAGAGCTTTGTATATGGGAAGAGCAAAGCAAGGTTTTCCTCAGCTTTCTTAATGACTGATAAAAATGACTACTAAAGCTAAAACAAACCAAAAAAGAAACTGATTTAAAAGGGCAATTTCTATGATCTAAATGTGCAGAGTAAGAATGAGAGCTGTTTCTCTGCCACCTCCCTGGTGTTTGAACTGCCTTTGTTTACTATGAACCCCAAGGCCCACATAAACATCTCTAAACCATTTTACTGCAAATGGAAAATCAGCTCTGTCATTTGTTGCTAAATGTATATGGAGATCAATAAAATATATGAGGGGAGAAACAGTTGAACATATTCATGGAAAACTCATAAATTAATTTATTCAACTAAGATGTGGGAAATTATTGTAGAGAGTGTTTTGGCTAAAGTGTTCCCTGGAGAATCCACTACTCGGATAATGATTCTCTCTTTATTGTCAGTGAATCTACAGCAATGTGTTTTGCATAAGCATTCACATTTGACAGAGAAAGAAAATAGCTACATAAAATTTATTCCCAGCTGTTTTATTCCTGTCAGTCTCCAGCCTGTGGTCCCTGCTAGAGGAGAATCTAGATATTTCTTAATGATGGAATAAAACAGAGTATCTCTCTGCCCCTCTTTACCCCGGCTTTCAACTTCTGGCAGCCAGGTCTTGCTCTAACCTGCACATAGGTACTATTGCTGAATTCCCAAGTTACTGCGGTGTCTATACAGGGGGGTGTATTTGGCTAAGGAATGTCTGCGTGGACAGCTCAGCACGGCCTCAAGCCCACAGGAGAGCCTTAAAAAGCTTTGTATCCCCACACAAGGAACTTGAGTATTTGCTTAAAATGATATCTGAGCAATGCAGCTGCGGGGTGAAGTGGGCACCCTCGTCTCAGGGATGTGGACAGACGGTGGTGGCCAGCAGCAGTGTCTGTGCGGGGCATGAGGCGAGCTGCACCCGGCTGCTGGTGGGTGAGGGTGGGAGGGCAGCTGCTTGCTCCCTTCTGCTGCGCCAAAGCTCCCTTGGCCCTCAGCTGGCTGCAGGGGAGGGAACAGTTCAGCAGACAGCTCCTTGCCAGCTGGCTGGGCCCCCCAACACCAGCCAACGTGAGCCTGATAGCAGAGAAGAGCGAGGAGAGTGCACAAGGACCATCGCAACCATCAGTGCCTGCACGACAGCTGGACTCAACTTGATGCATCTCGACAGGTTGAACGCAGATGCATTTGATGCCTTAACGATGCTGGGACAAAGACTGACAACTTACTCAGTGATGACCTAGGTGTGCACTTCTTCATCGTGATGCTAATTATGATACAGGTAGGGTAAACAGAATCTAGCCCTGATGGCACATTTCATCTCCAACACAGAAGGAACTGAGCGCTTCAGGGGTGGGTCCTCTGCCGCTGATGTCCCAGGTAGCCTGGGACACATTATCATGTGATTCGTGTGCTACCCTTTGCAGAGCCGCAGAGAGGCCAGACAACTGGAGCGCTCCCTGTCCTGGTGATCTCACAGCCGAGCTGTCAGGCAAGGGCAAAAGGAAAGCGCTCGCCTGACCCAGGGCTCGGCATGCTGACAGCGCTCCGAGACTCTCATCTTCTTTTAACTTGTAAAAGTTGTAACACGAAACCTATCTTTTAATATTTTTGTAGCCATGCTGCTAAAGGAGGAGATGATAACTTCCTAACTTTTACTTGCTTCTGGTGTTAATTGAAATGGGAATTAGCAAGGAGGGAAGAGGTATAAGTATATTTTTTTGGTGGAGGCATGAAAGAATTAGCAGACAATATACGTGATGGAAGATAAACTACCGTGAAATCTCTTTCTCAAAGGAATCACTCAATGTCAGAATTGGAGGGTAAATTTTACAGTATGCTAATTAAAATATAATTTAAAATACTCAAATATTACATCTCACTAACAGCAGCGGCCTTAAAACTCTAGCGCTCAGCAGCGCTCCGGCTGGAGCAACATTGTGCCTTCTTCAGCACCCTCCTAAAGCTCCTCGCATTGCCACGGGGAATTATTTCAGCGCGGTTTGTTTTACGGTGCATCTTTTGTTCACTCACAATATGTCTGTTCTAAACTTCAGGTACAAATAACAAAAGCTCATTATTTTCTACCTTATCTTTTACTTACTACCTGCCACAGGCAGAAGCTAAAACTTCCTGAAATTATAGCATATATATTTTTAATCCAGAGCTTCTTTATATCAGTATTTTTTCTTACCTATCTGTCTTAGCAGATAATTAGACTCTATTGGAGTTCAGACACCCGTTTGAGAGGGACTGTTTGTTTACATGCTTTAAAGCAGTGTTTGCCAGTACTTCCTTAGCTAGGACTCTTATCAGTATTTTCCTCATAAGCCTCTGCTTCCAGTTTTCATCAGATGGAAGAAAAACAAAATATGTTTGGAACACAGTGACTCAGCTCGAGAGACTTTTTTTTAATTTTTTATAACTTGGCACAATAAAAACTGGTTCAGTAGCTTTTCTTTAACTCACAAGAAGAGAAGTTTCATATGATGCACTCCCATTGCATCC